CGCAATTTGCAGTGTAAATAAGTTTCTGCGGTAGCAGAGAAAAACAAAAATCTTTGTTTTATCTCCTTATCATATTAATCCCACTTTCTTCGCATTTATAGATGAGATGCCCATGAAAATTTTTGTGCCTTTGACTTTGCCATAGTGTAAACATTTTAAAAAACAAGACTCAATATCACTTTATACAGACACCTAAATTACGCAAAATGACTTAATCCATTCCAGAGTAATCGATACAGATAGTTTCTCGACAAATTCCACCAAGTTATTATTAGTTTTAACAAATTAACAAGCATCAGAATAGCACTTTGTTCCGCAAATGGGTTGATGAAAAGGTATTACAGCAGAAAACTTGAGAACTTGGTGAAATGCTGACACCTTTGCTTGCTTCCATCATCACTATGGTGTAGAAATTCAAAGAAAAATTGCAGTGCAGAAACTTTAAATCAGTACATATCAAAGTCTTCCATAATTTCATCCGCCATAGCAAGTTCTGCTTCCTCTCTTCGTCGTTGCTCTTCTTCTAGAGCATGTCTTGCTACTTCATTGGCTGCTTCCAGCATGTCATCATCTATATCTACTTCTTGTGTTGTAGATGAAGCAGGAACAGACTTGGCAGGACTGCCAACATTGTTTTCAGAATTATTCGTTTTATCTGGAATAACGACGAGTTAAAATTCAAGGTTTGCTAATGAGAAGTTAAGAATATCTCTACCTTTCACTGATGTTGATTCCAAAGGATCATAATAATTCTCATCATCCTCTTCACTATCCTCGCGACGATTTATGCTAGTGCTCTCAGCATTTTCAGCATCATCAATAATCTAAAAAACGTTAATACACCTAGCTTCGAAGTTCCAAATAGTGGAAGCCCACGAATTCATTCAAGCACGTAAAACTTTAAAACTAAAGATTTTCATACTAAATATTCTTTGATAAGCAAAAAGAACTTTAGGAAGCAGAAATGAAGACCAAAGCTGTCCTTAGCTGAGTTCAGTTTTTAATAACCACCACGCAATACTAGGAGCAACAGTTCATTGAACTTGCATGACATTTAAGAATTTAAGATGGATAGGAGCAAGATTGAGTGTAAGAAATAATTGTCGAGAAGAAAAGAGAAAAGGAAGAAGGATAAAGTACTTAAAAGGTGTCCAATCAAAACAACCACAGATAACAAGAAAAAGTCTCCAAAAGGTGAATTCAAAAGACAATTAAAATGGAATAGTTTACCTGGTCGTTTTTTCTTCGGTGTGGTGCGAAATCGTCATCAGTAAGAGGCATATCGAGCCGAGATTTAGTCATATAGACCTGGGAGAATGAAAGAACAATGAATCAATGATTTGACTAATTGTAAAAGGTATTGAGAAAAATGAACATACTTTGACAATTCTTCTTTCGCCAAGTGCTTCGCATCTGCTGACAACATCTTCAAACTTTAGTTTTGGAAACATAACATGTGCCCAATGCTCGTATTTTTTCAGCATGACACTTAAGTTCTCATACTAAAAAAGATTCAGTTGACAATTGTAAGAAACATAGCGAAATGAAACTTACCGGATCTTTGGAAGGGTCAGGTTTGTAGTTCTTGAATGATTCACGCAAAGCTTGGATGCCTTTCGGTCCTGTGATTGTGGCTTCGTTCAACTTCGGTTGCGGCCTTATAACAGACGACTTAATTTTTACAAAGTTTACTCGACTAAAACTTACTAAACAAACGATTCAAACATTCTCTAACCTTGTCTTGTTACGTTTCTTTACAGCTTCCTTATTTTCCTTTTCTATAAGACTGTTTAATACGTGATCATCAGAAGTTTCTAGAAAGCAGTTTCATATCAATCAAGCAAAAATTCTAGATAAGACTACACAAAAAAGGATACCATTTTCATTATCGACAGGCGGCTCTTCGTCATAGAAATCGTTCCCAAGGAAGTCGTTTATCTCATCGAACTCCTCTCCCATATCT